GACGTTGTAAAACAAGTCAATTCACTTCGTGAACTCGGCAACCAGGTTACCCTTTTTGTTTTACCTCCGTTTTGTTTTTGCGGTACCATAATGGTGGTCGAGTGGATCATGTTGTGCGGGGTCAAGAACCCTCACTCCGCGCAAGGGGGATGATCGCATCACGTTGTGTTCAAATGGTCAAGCATCCTCGAGGCAGTTACACAGCAGTGCTAATATCCGTCTCTGGAAGTGAAAGCACCAGAAAATATACCAAGTCATACGCAGCTGTCATCCGTACGCAAGGAAGTAAGCACAAGATGCCGAACACCCTTATTATGTTGCAGTGCACCCTTCATGCGACTCGCCGAATACCTCAGNAGGAAGGAATAGGGTTCAAGGATTACCGATATTGACCAACGGATGCGGGAACAAAGCTTAGGGTCAAATTCAGGACCGGGGACATAGTCTAGGCCTTCGAGAACGTCGACGAAGACAAAGGACGATTGACGAGGAAGACGCCGAGTTCAAATGTGATTGCGGCTTCGAATGCGAAGACCGTGTTCATGTAGTCGCGGAATGTCCGTTGTACAAGAAGGAGAGGGAAGTGTACGTGACTGAGCTGGGAAAAATAGATGGAACGTACAGGGAGATGTTTGAGGCATGGAATAGAGAGGAAAGGACGGTAGCTGTACTGGGGCATAGGAGGTGGGTTGAAAAGGCGGGAAGGGATATCGTTAGGATAGACAGACTAGGGAAGACATTTTTGAGCCACCTTTGGCAAAGTAGAAAGGAACGATTGGCCATCGGTGATCGGTCCTGAGGGAACAATGCTCCGTCATCTCGAGGACGCGTGGTCAATGGTTTAGCCGCGAAGGCATGCAAAACATAAGAGTACGCCCCTCCTCCCCCCCCTCCCGCACCCCCGTTGTTTGCCATCGGGTTTGGGTTTTCGTCGCTTGGCAACGACGTTGTAAAACAAGCCAATTCACTTCGTGAACTCGGCAACCAGGTTACCGTTTTTTTTTTTTTCCTCCGTTTATTTTTTTTGGGCGGTAACCATAATGATGGTTGAGTAGATCATGTTGTGCGGGGTGAACCCTCACTCCGCGCAAGGGGGATGATCGCACCACGTTGTGTTAAAATGGTCAAGCACCCTCGAGGCAGTTACACAGTGCTTACAACTGTCTCTGGAAGTGAAAGCACCAGAAAATAAATTAATTCATACGCAGCTGTCATCCGTACGCAAGGAAGTAAGCACAAGATGCCGAACACCCTTAGCAGGATGCAGCGCACCCTTCATGCGACTCGCCGAATATCTCACGGCGCTTCGCGCTTGGTGATGTGAGAGCCTGGTCCGGTGAGAACCCGGCGTGCTCCGTCCCGGCTTTGTAGGGATGCGAGGTCAATGGTCTAACGACTACGGCATGCACGACTATGAGTACAACCCCCCCCCCGGTGTTTGCCGTCGGGGTTGGGTTTTCGTTGGCAGCGATGTTGTAGAACAAGCCGATCACTTCGTGAGCTCCGCAACCAACGTGCAGCTATTTTTTGCGTTTGGTCTTTTGTTTTTGCGGTAACCATGATGATGGTCGAGTGGATCACGTTGTGCAGGGTCGAGAACCCTCACTCCGCGCAAGGGGGATGATCGCACCACGTTGTGTT